AAAGGAAGAAGTCAAGGCTGAGAGTCGACCTCGGCCCACCCTCTGACAGAGGAGGAAATGAAGACACAAGTCAACCTCTACTCACTGTCAGACAGACGACAGTCTGACAGTGTCCTATTTTCTTTTTTCTTTTAATCAGATAGCTGAAAGGATAAATGTCTTAAACATGCTTCTAATGTTTTCTCTCTATTACATGTGGAAATTTATATGTGGTGTTCAGAATATCGCATGTAGGTCCTTAAATTTTACAGAGAATGTAGGCAGTAACAGATTCAACCAAAATGCTTTGAAATCTGGACTCTCTTCTGAGTTTACATTTTTTTTAAAATCATGTCTTAATCAGTGTTCACATGGCTGTGACCCCAGTCTGACCAGTGGAAGGCTTCCTTTTTCTTCTGAGTCAACACTACAGCTCCTTTGCCCTGGTGTAGTTACTGACCAAGAAACTAGCCCTGGCTTCTGAGTATAGCTTCCCTCTCTCTTCTGTCCTTTCATGAAAGCCTCAAATAGTCAGGCTGGTCTTTGGAGGCCCCCCAGGTCTTGTTTGGGACAGCCAGGATCAGATGGTTGCTGCCTTCCTAACCTGGGGCCCTTTCAGCTGGCCTCTGCCCCTTGCCCTTGCTCTTTGGTCAAGGTCAACAGGTGGAGTGTCCTATGAGTTTGGCCAGACTCTCTGATTGTCCCCTTTCCTGAACTGACCTGCTCAGATCCACTGGGCTCAGAGTGGGGTGTCACCCCCTCCCCCTGCTTTTCAGACCAGGCTTTTGAATTTTGCCATGTACTCGGTATGTTTATGAATGGCTTAGAGAAGAAATATGTAAAGAAAGGGAGAGAGGAAGCAAATTCAAGGAGACAAGGTTCTGGTAGCACTTGCCCCAGTAGTGAACTCTTTCAAGTCCTCGTGGGATTTTAGGTGGTTGCATTGAGATGGTCGTATTTCCCATCCCTGTGGTTACTTGTCCTCCTCAGCTTCTCCTGTGGCTTAACACCTCATGGCCCCACCACACACTGAATGAACCTAAATACTGAGTCGGTATTTTGATATGAAAGGTTGTTCCACCTTGCGTTCCAGGTGGGAATCCACATATCTTGTCTGGGATGGCTTTTCCCGAAGTGCCTCTATAGACAGCATGGGGTAGAGGGTGAGCATGGCATGTCTAGGTTAGTATTGTCACTGTTAAGCAACCCCCCATGCTTCAGTGTGTTTACTTTTGTTTGTGTGTGTAATTTTAGTGACGGGAAGCCTGCTGTTTACAAAGCATAAGCCCTAACAGTGGAGTACACCGCTGCAGAGCCCCTACCCCATGGAGGGCTGCACAGGTCCCATTCAGGGCTCTTGGGATGCAGATAGAAGCAGCTTGTGCAGTGGCCTACAGCCTTGAGCCTTGGTCCACCAGTGGTTCCTTCTCCACTATGTAAGGGGAGGCAGCACAGCCCCCATGTTGGTTTTGGAAAACCAACCATGACCTCACACTTTCTTTCCCATCTCCTTCAGGAGAAAATGACTAGGATTTGGTACTGAGAGCCCTGTCTGAGATGAGTGGCTGTGAGCACAGGTACCATTCTCAAGAAAAGAAGAGCCTTCTCTCTGTCTAGGAGGCTCCTACTGCTTAGATACAGGATACAGGGAAGAGGTTCTGGGTCTGTGGCTTCAAACCAGCCCAGCAGACAGGCCCCTGGAGCACTTGGTAAGTCCAGGAAGGGCCGTGGTGCCCAGGGCACCTGGGTTTACCTGTGGCCAGGTAGGTTTTTGTGGGTTTGCTGCACTCGCTGCTCTCTGGGGCAGAGATGCGCCTGCCCTGGCTGAGCATTCTCTGCCCACTTTGTTCTCCACTGGCTTCTTCCTCCCACTGTGAGCCCCACAGCTCTCAGCTTGACACTCAGCAGGACTCCTCTGTGGCTGCCCCAGAGATGGCTGCAGCTGGGCTGGGGGCAGCAGGGGATCAGGGGTTATCGGAGTCCCCCAGGTGATTGTAGAGTTCAGCCATGGTTGACCATTACTGATTCAGTCTCCTAAGCTGGACAGCCAGCGTAACTCATGAGGAAGTGGTTTATTCCCAACTCAGTCGTAGCTCTTTATTGTCATATGCATCATGGAATTGTCTTTGGGGCGATATCATGCTTTTACATGAGGGCTTTGTCATCTTCATGCTGAAACATCAGAACATAGGGTCCATCAGAGGGATGCTCTCCATGCCACAGCCCTGGGCAGGGAGCCAGGCTTCTCCAAGGTCACGCGCTGGGTGCTGGGTACCCAGGTGGGTCTTCAGGTGCCCCCAGTGTTCCAAGTTTCTGTTTTCCACTAGAAGAGAATTCTAAATATCAAGAGGAAGGGATGTGGAATACATTACCATTTTCTTTTTCTTTTTAAAAATTTAACCACATTTTGAATCCAACTTACACAGGTTACAGTGAGATAAGTACAACAAAACCTGTTTGGTTTTGTGGAAAGTCTGAAATACATAGAAGCATTTCTTTTTTTTTTTTTTTTTTTTTTTTTTTTTGAGACAGAGCCTCAAGCTGTCCCCCTGGGTAGAGTGCCGTAGCATTACAGCTCACAGCAACCTCCAACTCCTGGGTTCAAGCGAGTCTCCTGCCTCCGCCTCCCAAGTAGCTGGGACCACAGGCGCCCGCCACAATGCCCGGCTATTTTTTTTTTTTGGTTGTAGCCATCATTGTTGTTTGGCGGGTCCAGGCTGGGGATTCGAACCCGCCACCTTAGGTGTACGTGGCTGGCGCCTTAGCCGGTTGAGCTATAGGTGCTGAGCCAGCATTTCTTTTTAAGTCCTTGAACTTAAGTTCTTGAAATAGTTCATCCACAAAGAACATTGCTCTAACTTGAAACCCCAGTCTGGCTTGGGAGTTACTGTTCTTTTTTTTTTAAATTAAATCATAGATGTGTACATTAATGCAATCAAGGAGTACAATGTGCTGGTTTTATATACAATTTGAACTTTTTGCATCAAACTGGTTAACATAGCTTTCACGACATTTTCTTAGTTATTGTGTTAAGACATTTATATTCTACACTTAGTAAATTTAGCATGTACCCTACTGTTCTTTTTTTAATGAATGAAAACTTTGTCTTCTTGGAGTGTCCAGACTGTCAGAATTCACAAATATCAGAATTTGTTTATGAATTTTTAAAATAATGTTATTATTTCCCACAATGTATGTCTGTGGTGAACTCCTAAAAAATACAAGATCAGGTAAACAATTTCCTGTTGGAATTTCCATAAAAATTACATATAATTCCACCACTCAGTCATAACCACTGTCAGTTTAGATCTGCCCCTTTCTAGGTATAGATAAATATTTAAACATTCTTTGAGGTTATAACAAACTTGCAATTTTGAACCATGTTATTTGATACATCATGTGCATTTTCCTATGTCATTAAAATAGTCCAAACATGGCAGCACCCGTAGCTCAGTGCGTAGGGCTCCAGCCACATACACTAAGGCTGGTGGGTTCGAACCCAGCCCAGGCCTGCTAAACAACAATGACAACTGCAACAAAAAAATAGCCAGGCAATGTGGCGGGCGCCTATAGTCCCAGCTACTTGGGAGGCTGAGGCAAGAAAATCGCTTAAGCCCGAGAGTTTGAGGTTGCTGTGAGCTGTGATGCCAAAGCACTCTACTGACTCTGTCTCATAAATATATATATATACATATATATATTCCAAACATTTTTTATAACTGCAGCATGTCATTTATACGGATATACTTTAATGTACCAATGTTTCTCAGTGGTGGTGTGGCATCCATTTTAGTGTATGTTTTCACTTTTCAAATTATTTTTGTAAATAGATTCCTAGAATTTCTGGATCGGAGGATTTTGTGTGTTAAGGTGATTTCACAAAAGCATATGAATGCTAATGATTATAAAGCAGTGACTGTGAAGAGAACTTTATCCAAGATGTCTCCAAGATTTTAGTGGAAAACAGAATCATCCAGCAACTTAGTTGTCAGGAATTCTGGTCTCGTGGTAAGCAGTTGACCAGCCAGTAACACATCTCTTTCCTTTTCAATGGGACTCACCCCCAGGACCCTGAGATGCAGTGCCTGCTGCTGTCTGACGGAAAGGGCTCTGTCCACCCAAACCACGTCGTCATTGTCCGGGGTGACAGTGGGAGTGGCACAGCTGCCATCAGCTTCACAGGGGCCTTGAGAATTCCGGTGAGTAAATGTGCCTCCGTGGAGTTTCAGAGGGGCTGCTAGCACTGACTGTGAGAAGTTTGCTTCATTGATAACTAACTTAAAAACAGAAATCCACGATTGTAGACCTGTGGATAGAAGTATGCAGCACACACCATCAGGACCTGACCTGGCAGCTGTGGTGTTCTATTTGCCTCATACCAGGTTTACTTTTTTTTTTTAATTAGTTTTCTTTATTTAGAAATTTAGAAGATTCATAGACAAATAAGACTACCTGTCCTCACCTGAAAAACAGACAAGCTGGCTGCACTGGGCCTGACTGGTAGGGAGCTGAGGCTGCAACCCCCATGTCTCCCTATGGCCTCAGCCCTCCCTGGGGCGCTTGGCTTTCTGAAGGCCCTGAGTGTGAGCCTTGGGAGGCCCTGGCCCTGTCCTCCTCTGTGGCCTTCGGTAAGCCCAGCTCAGTTCTCTCTTCCCTGTGGGACCTCCAGTTATACAAACTGGGGTCTCATCACCCTGGACATATTGGCCAGAACTCAAGGAGGGAAGGGGGTCTCTGGCAGAGACCAAGGGAAAATAAGAAGCAACACAGGAGGGAAGCCTCAGGGTCCTCAGAATTGGCTCCTGGCTCTGGCCAGAAATTTGGTATTCTGGCCCTGCCCCCACATGGGAAAGGTGCTCCTAGTGCCCCGTGGTTAGTGATGAGTACACGAGGGGATCAAGGGAAGGTTCTCTGGAGTGGGTGGGAGGGAGGGCAATGGTGAAAGCCTTGCCGCTTTTGAATTTTCTCTTATTAAATTCTTGGACTCCCTCAGCAGAGACCCAAGCTATACCCAGGATGGGAAACACAGTGTTCTGACTAGGTGAGCCATGAGGGTGACCAAGGCAGAAAGCCAAGAGCAGAAGCCAGTGCTGTGTGGGCTGGGATGTCCAGGCCACTGTGCTGCCAGGCTTGCACCCACGGGTGCCAATAGTCAGGTATGGCTCTCATTCACTGATGAGCTGGTACAAAGCCGCTCACCAGGTCAGCCTGGAAGTGTAAACATTAAAATAGCCTCATGGAAATAAAAGGACTGAGAACTTCTGTGTCAGAACAGAAAGTATCTTCAGTGCCCAAAAAAGACTGTCTCCAGAGGCCACTCCTGGAGCCATCAAACCCAGGTCTGGGCCTCAGTGGATAGGTCACTGCAGGCTAGCCTATGGAAGCTGCCAGCTTTAAATTAAGTTATTTTAAAAATTGTGTTCTTAATAACAACTGGTAACCTTTCTGCTGTCCCTTTCTCTGTAGCTTTCCTGATCCTTGTGCTAGAGCAAGGTGCCCACTGGTTATGTAAATGCACATTCTACAGCAACCTGTGGTCAGAGCCTGGCCTGGCTTCACCGGCACCCTGCCGCTGTGAGCTGGCGGTTCCAGACCAGCACAGAGAGGCTGGGAGCCCCGTGTCCTCATCTGCACTACGCTGCAGAGCACCCCCCACACCTGGTGTGACAATTTATGTTGTTCTGAGGCGAAGTATGATGTTACTACACTGAGCATGTGGCCTCACGCTCATGTCAACTGGGAAAGCACCAGCTCACTTCATCTTAATGTGACATGGGGTTGAGTGTTGTGTTCTCGGCCCACTTTCAACAGGTTCTTATGAGAGGGGAGAGGAGGCGTCAGTGCCTTAGTGTCATGGGTTTTTTACTCAAATTTTCCAGATGGAATTATTATCTCATGAGTGCCTTCTCTGTGTAAAAGTAGACAAAAAATGAAACAAGCAGGCGTTCCATTGAACCCACCAAACTCTAAACCTCCATCTCCTCCTTCATCTGTCTGTCTCTCAGTTGCTTCCCAGCTCCCACTGGCTAGTGCTGTGCCTGGGCGGCCATGGCCTGCAGGCCTGCGTGTCTGACAGCTGGCCGTGGCCAGGGGAGGCTGCTCTGTGTGTTTCCAGTCACTGCATAATTTGCGGTTTCAGTTTTTTGAGGGGAATAGCTATTGAATGTTTAGTAGCTAGGAGACTGCACCAGGGCTGTGGTCCTTAAATTCCCCTAATAGCAGAGATTTCCAAGGATTGTAGTAAAGACATTGGGTAGTCTCCATTCAGTGATTTCTTAGACAAGTGAGGCTTCCTATCTTCACTTACAAAATAGAAAATCTGGCAGCCCGCATGGCAGTGGGAGCTAAGGCCCTGCCCCCCACGCCTCCTCATGGCCCTTGCTGGAGTGGGTCTCTGCCTATCAGTTCCTCCACCACGTTCAGCATGTTACACAGCAGTTCCTCCCTCTCCCTGCGGGTCTGGAGGTGCTAAAGCCAGACCACAGACCCCGGATGTTGTTACGGGGATGGAGTCGTGTGTAATGCCTGCACTCACATACACCTGCCAAGTGCACGTCTGGGGCAACACCAGCTCTGTCTTCCAGGGCGTGATCGAGTTCTCGCTGTGTCTGCTGTTTGCCAAGCTGGTCAGCTACACGTTTCTCTTCTGGCTCCCACTGTACATCACAAATGTGGGTGAGTGACAGCTGCTGGGACACACCTGACAAGTGTCAGTCAGTGACTGTGACCCGAGCTCTCTCCTATCTGCTGACTGCTATAGTCTTAGAAACACAAGGCCACACCTGGTGACTTGAGAGTTGACTTTGGAATTAACATGATTAAACATAGGCAAAATACAATAGGGGTAGGCAAGTTTTATTGCCATAGTAATAACCTTTATAGGCTAAAAGGTTGACTGTTACATCCCAACCGAGGCTACCAACTCCCTGGGGTGCTCCCAGATGGTGATGGCTGCATTTACATTTGAGCTGTGTTGGACTCTGGGTCATAGCAGACCAGGGCCTCTGGAGGTCTGGGCTAATCAGTCCTTAATAATCTGACCTGGAAATTGCTTCTGGGAAGTGCGTTCTAATTTTAGGGAGGGCTGATGGTTTGTCTTATGTTTTGAAAGTGCCACAGGGGCTGCAGCTATAGATTATGACAGAATGTACTGGTGAAATAATGACATGCACACCCCTTACTGTGTGTGGCCACAACAAGAAATATGAGAGGGGATGAGGGGTTCTTATGGGAAGGGGCTGTGAGCGGCGGCGGCTGAAGGTGGAGATGGGCAGGGAGCACTTGGGAGTCTCCCGGCCCAGGGAGTCAGAGACAGCTAGGAGAAGGGCACCAGGGTCAGGTGCAGGCTCTGGTGATGCAATCAGGAGGAGCACAAAGGCCACATTCCACCCAGGAGCATGAGGGTGAGTAGGGCTGGACACCTTGGGTGGAAGTTGAGGAGGTAGTGAGGGCACCCACTATAGGCCCCCTAGCAGGGATAGGGTGTGTAGGTGGACAGCAAGGATCGCCCGGAGTTCGAGGTCCCTTCCCTATGCCGCGGCCCCCTCACTTTGGCGAGTGGGCTGCAGTCGTCTGAGCAGGGCAGGCGTGGCAGACAGGCAGTGTGCATTCTTTCTCCCTTTGTTTCCCAGGGAAGGTAAAAGGGATGACATTTTTAGGACTTGGGTCTCAAATCACCAGCATTTTAGTCTGAGTGACTGTTTGAAGGAAGTCAAGTTCCTTGAATATGCTGTTGAGGTTTAGGAAAAGCTGGTTCATGTGACAACCCAGTACTCCCCAAATCTCAGCTCTCATGTCCTAGCCACCACTGATCCACCTCAGCTCAGGACTGCACCATATCTAGTGGGAAGATGTGTACCCAGGCCTCAGTTTCCCTGTCTGAAGTGTGAGAAGGTTACAGTCCCTCCCATGTTTCAAGCCTCCTGGGCACACTGGTATGTAAGGGGCACCCTTATGTCAAGGTTCTGGGCTCTCTCCAGCACCCCGCAGCCCCACTTCTGTCTTAACGCTTGTCTAACTGTGAGGCCACCCCACAGGACCACTGAGCCAAAGGCAAGACAGTTACTAGACTGGGCAGGGAAACGCCCCAGTTTGGGTTAAGAGTATTTTCCTTTTTTCTGAGTTTCTTTTTTTCTAATCTGAGTTAATTAATAATTGCTACTTGGTATAAATCAAGCTTATGGAGGTCTCATTCTGCTGTGAGATAAATTCACACTCTACTGTTGTTTTTAACAGATCACCTTGATGCCAAAAAAGCAGGGGAGCTCTCAACCTTGTTTGATGTGGGTGGAATCTTCGGTGAGTTCACTACCAACTGCTACTCTGCACACCCGCAGCCCCCTAGCTCTGTTATCTTCACTGGGGCAACGGTGTTCCCTGAGGTCTCATGCTCCCTGAGTGGACTCAGCCCAGCAGTGTCCAGCCATCCTCCTGGGGCCCTCCTCTTTCTCATCCTGGGCTCTGAGTCTGCATTTGGTGGCTCCCCTCAGGAACAGCACACCCCAGATAGGTGACAGGCTGGTTGTTCAGACCCTAGCAGGTGAGGGAGCTTTAGGGCTGGCCTGAAACCCAAACCCTAAGGCTGCCCCCAGCCCTTGACATCTGAGCACCACTAGGGAGGCTTGTTGGAGGTCAGGCCCCAAGGTGGCTGCTTGCTGGTACTACCCCCTGTCCTTGTAATGGTTTCCTCCTGATGGGCTCCCTCGAATGCAGTCCCTGAAGCCAGCCCCTCCCTTGCAGGTGGAATCCTGGCAGGTGTGATCTCAGACCGACTGGAGAAGAGAGCCTCTACCTGCGGCCTCATGCTGCTGCTTGCAGCCCCCACGGTCAGCCCCACACCCACCTGGGCCCCCTCACCTGCACACAGCCTCCTCACATACTCCTTGCCAAGTAGCACCCTCTTCTATCTGGCCCACACTCCACTTTCCTGGCAGCTCCTGCCTTCTGGCCTCCAAGTCACTGCCCAGGCCTGGAGGGGCTTTCTCCACTCTGTACACACACACACACACACACACACCCCGTTGCACAGGTGTGCTGGTCCTGTGGGCTGTGCACAAGCTGCTCCTCTCTTTGGGGCACTCCCCACACACACATAAGCTCAAACTCCCGCCATCCTGTGGGTTGCCTGACACCTGCCCAGCCCTCAGGCTCGTCAGCACCTCCCACCATGACACTGGTTCCTAGTACCTTCCAGCTATTTAGTAGCTCGTGACCTTGGGCAAGTGACTTCCCCTGCCTGTGCCTCAGTTTCCTCATATGAAAAATGAAAATGACAGTAGCAGCACCTCATACTGTGACTGTGACAGTTAAACTAAATGACAACATACCACTGCCTTTATTATAGGAATATTGGAGGGATGCTCGCCCACCCCAGCTTGCCTCTCCACTAGGCTGGGGCTGTCCCCAGAACAAGGCCCAATTTTCAGTCATCTTTGAGGCCTTGGACACCCCAGAATAAACACACAACATTTAGTGCAGAAATGAGTGGGTCCCTTGCCGTGTGGACTCTCAGATTAGGGGCGTAGGGAAGGCTGCCCCACCTAATCCATCACTGTGGTGGGACCACCCTGCAGGGTTTTTCAAAGTCACTTGAAGCACTTGGCCCACACCCCACATGGCTGGGACAAGGCTTGCAGCCTGTTTGCCCAGCATACCTCTATGCTGTCTTCAGGCGGGCAAGGTAGGGGGTGTGGTCCACGCTCATTGTCAGGGTTTCCACTCTCAGGGTGGCTGCCGGGGAACCACCTGCCTGGCCCTCTGGAGTGTGGGTTTCTGGGCACTCCTCTTTCCACTTCCGTGAGCTGTGTCTTACCCTGTTTGTGCACTCCACACAGCTCTACATCTTCTCCACCATCAGCAAGATGGGACTAGAAGCTACCATAGGTGAGTATGGAAGCCTTTCTCCTTTCTTTTCCTGCTCACTTTCTCTTTGCACAATTCATTGAAGTGAAACATGAAAATCAACAAAAAAGCCTTGGGCTGGTATGACTCCAACATGCAGTGTGGCTAAAAGTGTCCCCATGTCCCTCTCTGGGTGAGGCCACCAGAAGAAGCCGGGACTCCTCCAGATGCTCCTAGGGGAAAGGCCCATCTGTCTGCAGGTGAGAGCCTGAGTGTGGGACAGTGTGACCTCTGGGTGCCCAGGGGAAGGAGCCACTCGAAGGAGCAGGTATAACCTGGAGGGCAGCCACCTGCAGCCTCTGTGAAGCTGGCAGGGGTTCAGCGACCTGAGACCTGTGTCCCTGGGGGGGAGAGCCGCCCAGACTGGCTCTTGAGCTATGGCAGGTAGCCAAGGACATAGTAGTGTGACTTGAGCAGGAGCCAGGGCAGGGATAGGTTCCCAGACCATCTCTGCCCACCTGGTTTCTATCAGCTGCTACTCCCCGAGTGGCCACATAGTATTGGACCATTACTTTCCTGGAGGCAGTGCTGTCGATTTGTGCTCCAGGACAGTCCATGTAATGGGGGGTGTCTGCAGTCACATTACATGTTATCCAGAAAGCAGCTGCCCATGCAAGGGCAGATGGAGTCTTCTGTGACCCTCAGGCCAGAAGCTTCCTCTCAGGAATGAACCTGAAGGCTGGATTGGGAAAGTGACCTTGCAGTTCATAGAGAGTGGGGTTATCCTGCATATGGCAAGTGTCCCGAGCAGCTGTCAGTGATGAGAGGAAGTCCTTTCTGTTACAGATAAAGCTGTGGCTGGCGTTAGCATCCAATGAGTACAGAGACTGGCTCAGTGTGGTGCTAGCTACCAGCAGAGTTCTTGCTTCTTCTGGCGGGGAGCAGCTGCTGCCCATTGAGTCCAGGGCCCTGAGTCTGGTGAGTGCAGCCAGACTTAGCATAGGCCTCCCTAGCCAAGTTCTGAGGATGACATTTCTGCTGTGCCCTCTCCTGAGATCAATGGGCCGCCCTTCCTGCTCCTGCCTGCATGCAGGCACTCAGGAGCTGAGACACAAGGGCCCTCTCGGAGGATACAGTTCCATGTCAGCCCCCTTCTGCTTCCCACAGCAATGCTGCTGCTCAGCGGGGCTCTGGTCAGCGGGCCCTACGCACTGATCACCACTGCAGTCTCCGCGGACCTGGTAAGTGGAGCTGCAGGGAACGTGCTGGCCCTGTCATTACCCCCACCATTCATGGCAGGGATAGACTCCCTTAGTAAAACTGTGCATGTATAAGTGCCTTCCTCGCAGACAACCTATGTGTGGTCTCAGGGGTCTTCCCACACCTGTCCCACTCCCAGGCAGGTTGGTTAGCCTGAGAGCCCTGTGGTTCAAAACAGAGCAGCTCTCCTGCTCTGCCCACGTCATCCCAGGCTCCTCCTTCTGCGAGAAGCGGCGGTTGCTCCTTGGTGGCTCAGCAGAGAGAAGCACAGGGAAGGCGCTTTCTCCTCTCCATGGGCCCATGTCCCAGAGCAAGAGCAGCAAGGACCAAGCCCTGCCTGGCCCCTTTGGGTGTTGGGTGTGCCCAGAGACTACCTGTATGAAGCACAGGCTTGGGTGCAGGTGTGGCCATGGAAAGCCCTGAAGGATCCACACCAGCCCATTAGCAGTGCCCAGCCCCCATGGCCTAGAGGCAGAAGACCAACTCATTTCTTTTTAGACTCCAGAAAAAGATTATGGGTGATTTTCATGCTGTGTGCACTTCATAATACATATATATTAGACAGACACAAGCATTTAATTTTTCCAGTTTGAGTTTATTTTTATGGTTTTAGGCTTCCAGATATTCTTTTTCCTGATTTTTTTCCCCTTTTGTTGAGCCGGAGCTTGGCCGGCTGGTAGTTAGGACTGCACCCTGCACCCTGCACCCCACCCTGGTTCCTGGCATTCCCCCCACTTCCTACCCTCCCCTGGTGTCTGCTCTTAAGCAGGTTGATTTTTAGATACTGCAGAGGTGTCTGGCCCATGTTGCAGGAAGACCCTGGCCGCTGGGGAACATGGTGGCTGCTCCCAGTGCCAGAGCTTAGGGACAGGCATGTGTGCCCCCATCTTTATCTTTCATGCTGGCTGCTGTGCTGCCTCCTTGAAGGCTGTGATGTGCTGAATAAATACTTCTTTGAGGAGACCTAAGGGTTCTTTTAACTAGAATATGTTTATACATGTATTTCTGGTGGGTTTTGACTCTTGCGATTTTGTCTACCTCTCTAATGTAAGCTTGGGGTGAAGTGGAGTTTAAACTTTCTAATGGAGAATAATTGGCATGGTGAATGGCTCCGCAGAGCAGTTTGAGGGAGTTGCCATGTGGAGGCACAGGTCTGCTTCTCACTGCCAGCGCTGCTGAGGTGTGACTCACCTTTGGTTTTTTTCTCTCTTCTAGGGGACTCACAAGTGTCTGAAAGGAAATGCCCACGCCCTGTCCACTGTGACCGCCATCATTGACGGAACCGGGTCTGTAGGTGCGCAGAGATGCTTAGCTCCAAGAGAGCCCTTGGGGTTCTAGGAAAATTCTGTTGTCACATCCTAATTAACAGGTGTCCAGGATCCCAGTTGCTTTGGTAATGCCAGGATTGGCTGGCTGCCCCTACCGTGAGCAGAATCCCAGTGGACGTTGGTGCAGACTGCTGTGTGCAATGGGTGGCTTGGCAGAGAGGGGCATGTGTGAGAGAATGTGCATCCAAACTTAACCTGTGGCAGTGGCTGGCAACCTACAGCCACAGGCCAAATGTGGTCCACTATCACTGTCATTTGAAGAAGGACAGAATCTTACTTAAATTTAAATTATAGGAAAACTAAGGGGTCCAAATACATACAAGACTCTGAATGTTACCAGCCTCAGAGGTTCTTGAAGAGACATCAGTGGCATATTCCAGAGTAAAGATAGGCAGCAGAATAGGCAGCTTGCCCCAGGTGCAGGCAGGGTAGGGCACAGAGCCTCTGCTTACCAGTGCCTGTGCCTTTAAGACCACACAAGTGACAGCCCCTTGCCTGAGAAGGCTGGGAAGCTGGCTGCCCTGAGCACTCACAGCCACACAAGCCTGCCGGGTGCTGAAGCACCTCTGATGGCTTCTTTCTATATGTGGGAGGTCAGGGCTTTGGAGGCCAACTGATGTGGCTCCTGTAGGTCATCAGAGGGTCATGGGCAGTGGCCTGATGTGTCACCTGCTATCCAGGCTTCCAACCCAGAGACAAAGTGAGCAAGGGCCATGGGTGGGAGGGGCCGGGGTCTCAGCAGTAAAGGCAAGTGGGTGCCAGACGAAGGCGGCTCAGCTGGAGCCTAGCACTGGGCTTTCTGGCCACCTGTGTAGGGAACTGCTGTTTTCCTCTTGGCTGTGCACGTGGCCTTGGTCAGCATGTTTCTGGGCACCCACTCCTGTCTCGTCAGTGCAGAATCCCAGTCTTCCCACCATACGGCTACTTCCAGGACACCAGGCGTGGCCCCTCACAGCCCTTGGCACAGGCCGTGCCTTCCCTGGAAAGGTTCCCGGGTGATCTCATGCCATACTGGCTTGTGCCCTTGGATGTCTCCCTCCCTGAGACCCTCTCACCACCCCATTGAGAATTCATGACCCCTGGCCGCCCACGCCAGCCTCTCTCCCGAGGTCTCCCCTTCCCCAGAGCACTTCCGTGTCCCAGGCAGTATGTGGTTGGCCTCTTTGTTCTGTACGATCTGTCTTCCCCTTGATGGGGCCCTGTGGGGACAGAACTTTGTTTTGCTTCACGTAGTGGAGAAGCACCAGGCAAGGCCACTATCGTTCAGAGAGCCGGGCTTTGGCCTTTGCTGTTTGCATAAGTGAGACCAGCTCTGTTTTTGTCCTTAATGTTGGTTCCTTCATTTTATTGGCTCTAGAGGTGACTTTGACTGTGTTGAGCATGTTAGTGGTCCGCCCTCCGATGCTTCTTTCTGAGACCTGGGACCGTGTTTAGGGAAAGAGACGAGGAACAGAGTAATGCCGGGTCCCACATGGAGTGGGCTGTGTTCTCCTGCTTTCCTAACACATGGGGGACTTGAGAACATGCTCAGCAGCCAGGCAGAGACACTGGCCCGGGGCACGGCTGTCAGCTTGGGACTGAGTGGCCTCTCAGCCTTTTGTCCAGGGGGCTTTGTAGCTCCATCTGACTTCCACTGTGAAACTCTTTATACGCTGGCTTGGAACTCTGCTGGGTGCCCTGATTGCTAATTTAAGCCAGAGAATCAGAGTTGAAATTATGAATTAGGTTTAAAAGAATTCTTTATATTCTTCTCAAAATGAGAGGGAAGCAGAAGCCTGGGGTTGGGGGTGGGGGCACATCTGTGAATGGAGGCCATCACCCTGCTTCCGAGTGGAGAGGAGGCAGGCATGGTCGCGAGTGCCTCTGCCTGGCTCAAGAGGCTCTAGGGGCCATTAGGGACCATCCCTGACCTTCCACCAAGTCCTGACCATGGGCAGAGCCACATCACCCACCTTGGTGTCTGCAGCACATCTGCGGAGGTGAGATGGTGAAGGGGCCACTCTGCCTGCTCGGTGCATGGTCACCAGAGAAATGGCATGCACTTGTCTGCCACCGCATCCCAGCAATTATGTCTTCCACAGTGCTGCCCAAGGGAGCAAAACGAAGCCCCAGTGGGAAGGCAAGCCACCCTGCAGAGCCAACCCCAGGGCCCTCCTTGGGGTGTTTAGTGCCAGTGGCCCCTGCCTGGCACCATGGAGCCCAAGGCAGAGCTTGACTCATTGTAGGTCAGTCACATGGCTCAAACAACCCAAGTTTGCGCGTCTGTGGGTTCACGGTGCTCAGAGTTGCTTCCTGTGGGATGCAAGCTTGCCATTTCTATATGTTTTATGCAGAGAAATTAAATATAACCCTGCATTTTTTAGGTTAATTTTCATTTTATCAAAGTAAAACATAACCAGAGCATCAGAAGCCACACAGCCCTACTCGCTCATGATAATGCACAGTGTCCCCACCCCCACCCCCGTCACTGGCAGCTGCTTCCTCTCTCTCCTGCTCTCACCTCCTGTCAGCTGCTCCCCCACTCACCTGCTGCCCTCCAGGAAGACAGGCTTGGCTTCTTTACCCGCCATGCTCCCTGCCCTCTTCCTCCTCAGCAGTGCTGTGCTGATGACACTCACTCACAGACAGGAAACAAGCTTTCATGGTGCATCCTCAGCATGGAAACAGAGTAATGCCAGGTCCCACATGGCAGCATACATGTCATGCTTTGTCCCTGAGCTAATAGGCACCTCATCTTGTCCTTTTGTTTAAGTTTCCCACACAGCTGTCTGTGCCCTCTGCACCATCACCACCAGGTTCCTGCTCCACTGGCCCTCCTGGGCCGTCAAGATGTCACCTCCTGCTGCCTTCTACACAGTCTTATCTGGGAACTCTCACCATCATCCCACGATTGCTTCCGTTTCTTGCCTGCATCAGAACCCCTGGCTTCTAGACCCCTGTTTACCATTCTCTGCCAGAGTGTATTCTAGTAGCTTCCTGAGTTCAGGAGGTAAATTCTGAGAGCTTGCAGGTCTCTCACTTGAGGCAGTTTGGATGTAGAAACGCTTTCTCCTCCAGAATCTCAGCACCCTCTGGCTTCCATTGCCATCCTGAGAAGTCTGTTGTCTTTCTTACCCGTCCTTCATTCTGCCTTTTCTTTTTTCTCTTGGGAAACTCCAGATCCCTGGAGGGGATCACCAGGTCCTGGAGCCTTCTCTATCCTGGTGCCCGGGGCCTGGTGGGCCTGCTCAGCCTGGAAACACCTGCTCTTCCCTGTATGGGAGTTGAGCTCTGTTATTTCTTTGATAAGTTTTCCCCACCATTATCTGAGTTTTCTTTCTGGAAGACTTATTACTCAGATGTTGGACTTCCTGGCTGAATCCTTTAATTTTCTTTTCTTACTTTTGTTCCCTTCCCTCCTATCTCCTTATTCTATTTTCTCATCTTGTTTGACCTTATTTTCCACCTCTGTATTGACCTTTTTACTTTTCCGGTCATATTTTCCATGTTCACAGATGTTTTTCTGTCCTTTTAATGCATCCTGTCTCACTTCCTGGATGCACTGAGGTGAGGTGGAGAGCTACGGCTGATGAGCATGGCTTCCGCTACAGAAATTGAGAGTGCCGTACAATTCAAGCTAATTTTCTAGTAGCTCTTTGAGGGTGTTAGAATTTCATGGGAGATTTCTCTCCATCATATGTTGATTTCATCTAGGCCCCCCTCCTCCCACTTTTCTTCCATGTTGACATGGTGAATCTCAGCCATCCTCAAGGCTTCACATATAAGCACGAGCCACTGAGCAGTTATCTGAATTCCTTTCCTCACAGGAGAGTGTGTTGGTGCTGGTCTCTGGAGTCCCCAGTGGTGGGGGCGGCTGGGGTTGCCTTCAGTGCCCTTGGGGACTGTGCCCTCTTGTCAGTGTGTGGGACCATGGTGGAAGCTGGTACCTTTCTCTGCCCTGGGTCTGGTGTCACCAAAGGTTAAGCTGCTACTATCTTTGGGGTGGGCTGGGCTGGGGCTACTGGATCAGTGAGGGTCAGGAAAGACCTGAGATCAGAGGAGGGATAAAAGGAACACACCTAATAGCATGTTTAAAGATTCAACCACAGCCCCTTTCTCTTCTGCTACCCCTGTTTCTGGCCTCCCCTCCCCTTCCTCGTGTGCCTGGCTGGGCCTGGCTCTGTCCTGGGCCTGGCTCTGTCCTGGGCATTCTTGTGCCACCTCCCTCTGAGGACCCTTGAATAGTGGAGCCTGTGTCAGTTTCATCCCTTTTAAATCCTTCTAACAAAAGTGTGTGCCTTCTCCCATCCACACTTCTCTTTGTGATTTACCATTTTGAAAATGCAATTGTGGCCCACTTCATGGTGTTTGGGAGCAGTCTGCCATGTTTACCTGGAAGTTCTTCTGAGAATTAAAAAAATCCTTCAGTTGCTTCTCAGAGTGTAATAATAGTGAGTGTGTTTTTAAACACTTGAAGCAAAATCAGTACTGTAGGGTTTGAAAGACCCTAGTAAGCCCACCTCCCAGAGACTGAATTTCACTTAATAACTTTGTGACAATGATTTATGCTTTTTCCATGCATCTGTTAGCACAGACCTCCTATTCCAATTCCTGTTAGTAAAATAGACCAAACTGCTCTAACACACGTTTTTATGCAGCTGTCTTTGGGCATTTGGGGGATATTTTTGTTTTCATAGTTTTAAAAAATTATTTTGACAAATTTTAGTCTTTCAGAAAAGTTGCAAAACTAGTACAAAAAATTCACAGACATTTTAGTACTTGCACTCTATCCTGCACCTCTCACATATCTACACATACATGTGCATGTGTACCTAGGCATACACGTGTGCACCTCTCACATACATACCTTACACACACATGTGCACGTGTACCTAGGCATACACGTGTGCACCTCTCACATACCTTACACACACATGTGCACACATACCGAGGCATATGCGTGCATGTTTTTCTGAACCACTGAAGAATGAAATCCAGATGAGTTGCCCCTTCTAACCATTCGGCACATACTCCCTATAGAACCACAGTACAGTGATGGGAATCAGCAAATGAGCACCAGTAGAGTATTAGTCTCTACAAATCTCACTCAGATTTTACCCAGTAACATTTTTTATCACACAAGGATATGTAAGATTATGCATCAGATTCAGATTTCTTTACAATAAATTCAAAAAATTACAGGAATATTGGATCAAAAGAAAGAGCATTTCAAATGTCAGCATGTATTTTTAGGATTAGTTCTAGAAAAAGGCTGTGCCTGCTCTACCCCCAGTACTGAGTAGTACAGGCTATGACTCAGTGTCCTGGTCTCAAATGATTGGGACCACAGGTGTTTTGGATTTCAGATTTTTCTTTTGATTTTCGGATATTTGCATCATACCAGTGGAGGGTCGTAAATTCAAAGTCCCAAATGCTCCAGTACTCAAGAAGTTTCCAGTTTTGGAGCAGTTTGAATTTCAGACTTTTGGGCTTATGATGTTCACCCTGTATTAAGCTTCTTACTCCTTACCAATCTGATAAGCAAGAATGAGGTATGTGTGTTTCTTTGAATTATGAGTGCAATGTTGGGTGTTGTTATAGACACTTATTAAATACTTATTTGCCAGAGTTTTCCCTGAACAGCACCAAGTGTGTCCATTTGCCTTGTTTCAGGAGCGGCGCTGGGCCCCTTGCTGGCTGGACTCATCTCCCCCTCCGGATGGAGCAATGTATTTTACATGCTGATGTTTGCAGATGCCTGTGCCTTATTGGTAAGTTGTCTTGTTTTTAATATAAGTCTCTTTTAATGAGCGTCTCTGTGGTTGTTGACGAAACACTGGAAAAACTTTTTCCTGTGGACTCTTGCAGTTCTCAGGGAGGCTTGGGTCCTCTTGTTTTTCCTAAATATACCTACGGTGGGGAAATCTTCCCTGAGTGTTTTTAACCTTCCCACAGTGAGCTTTGATTTTTGAACTTATATAAATACAATTGATTCTTGGATGATAATATACCTGGTTCTGGTTCTTAGGCAAAAAGCAACAGAAATAGTCTTCACACAGCTGCATGAGATTCCTATAGCTAACACCCTAGTGAAGATGGGTTCACAGTTCCAAATTCTGAAACATAGGCAAAGAATCCACTTTGAATGACAGTAACAGACATAACAAATAGCAGAATTGGACCCCCAAAAAACTGCAGATGGATGTTATCAAATAAACTAAAAATAAATGTGTTCAACACTACTGAAAATGTGAAAGAGGGAGCTGAGCCCATGAAGAAAGACAGAGCAGGTGGTAAACAACCAAGTGGAAGTTCTAGAAATGAAAAATGTGGTGTTTAGCTGGAAAAAGCCCAGCGAATAGGTTGAAAAGATAAAGCAGATTAGATACAGCTAAAGAAACGATTACTGGAGTAGAATATAGGTATGAAGAAATTAGCTTTATCTACAAAGAGAAACAGATGGGAAATATTAAAGAGAAATCAGATATTAAATGGAGGACCAAATGAGATGTCCTAATCATATCTAATAGGAGTCCCATAAGAGGACAGACTGGGATTTTGGTTTTTGTTTATGCACTGACTTCCATTTGTAGATTTGCATATGGTAAGCCATCTTTGCATCTCTGGGATGCAGCCCACTTGGTTGTGGTGAATTGTGGTGAATTCAATGTGCAGCTGAATTGTTTGCTGAGATTTTATTGAGAATTTTTGTATCTGTATTCATAAGGGATATTGGGTTTTTTTTGTTGTGTCCCTTCCTAGCTTTGGCATCAAAGTGATATTGGCTTCATAGGACAAATTAGGGAATGTTATGAAATAATTCTGGAGTATAGACATAAGTTCTTTATAGGTTTTGTAATTCAGATATGAAAGCATCTGGTCCAGAACCTTTTTTTGGTAGAAGATTTTTTTACTGCTGCTTCAATTTTGGTGCTTGATCTTGATCTGTTCAGGAGTTCTGTTACTTCCTGATTGAGCCTAGGGAAGTTGTGCATTTCTAAGAATTTGTCTGCTTCCTCCATGTTTTCAAGTTTATGAGCATAGAGATTTTTATAGTATTCAAAGATTATATTTTGTATTTCCGCGACATCAGTTGTGATTTCTCCTTTTTCATTTTTGTTGAGCTTATTAGATTTCTTGTCTTTTCTGTTTCTGGTTAATCTAGCAAGAGGTTTGTCAATTTTGTTTATCTTTTCAAAGAGCCAACTTTTTGTTTCATTAATCTTGTTATAATTCTTTCATTCTCTATTCCATTTAGTTCTGTTCTGATCTTTCTGCTGGGTGTAGATTGGTTTGCTCTTCTTTTTCCAGTTAGATTGTTGATTTGCGATCTTTCTGTCTTTTGGATATGGGCATTAAGGCTGTGAGTTTTCCTCTCAGCACTGCTTTTGCTGTGTCCCACAGATTTTGATAACTTGTGTTCCCATTATCATTTAGTTCAAAGAATCTTTTGATTTCCCTCTTGATCTCCTCCTCCTAGGCCAAACTATCATTCAGCAATAGGTTATTTAGTTTCCAAGACTGTGTATGTGGAGGAGTGCTTCTGTTGGAATTGCTTTCTACTTTTATTCCACTGTAGTCTGACAAGACACATGGTATAATGTCTACTTTTTAAAATTGTGGAGACAAGTTTTGTGGTCTAGGATGTGATCAGTCTTAGAGAATGTTCTGTGAGCCGATGAGAATGTCCATTCAGTAGTTTGGGGGTACAACGTTCTGTAAAGGCCCGTCAGGTCTATTTGTTCTAGAGTCCTGTTTAAGTCTGTTGTTTCTTTGTGTACTTTCTGTATTTTCTGCTTGAAGGATCTGCCCCATTCTGTCAGTGGAATGTTGAAGTCCCAGCTGTTATAACACTGCTGTTTTGTTTAGATCAAGTAGAATTTGGTTTATGAATCTGGGTGCATCTGTGTTATGTGCATAGAAATTTAGGATTGTTCCCTTCAGCATTTTATAATGACTGTCTTTGTCTATCTTTACTTTTGATGATTTGAAGTTTGTGTTATCTGATATGAGAATGGCCACACTAGCTTTCTTTTGGTTTCCATTTATATGAATATTGCTTTCCAACCCTTTGCCTTTGCTAGAGACAGCAAATACTTGGCTTGTATTTTCTTGTCCATTCAGCCAGCCTGTGTCTCTTCAGTTGGGAGTGTAAGCCATTCACATTTATTGAGAGAATTGATAAATGGTATGTAGTTCTGTTCATCCTGTTGCGTAGAACTTTATTGCTTTGTTTTACCGTTGTGGTATCTGGGCTCTGCAAAGCCTGAAATATTTGCTATTTGGACCTTTACAGAAAAAGCTTGACTCTTGGTTTAAACAATAGTGACTAATTTTAGCGTTATAAAAAGAACCAGAATCCCAGACAACCAAAATATAAGGCACAAGTGGGACGGTCAATGAATGAACTTCACAGCTTTCATCTTGTCAATAGAAGTAGAGTGACTTTCAAAGCAGTATGGAGACGTAAAGACCTGATCAATCTCAGAGAACCAAGGGCAGAAAGAACCAGCTGCAGTGTGGACAAAACAGGGCAAATGTGAAATACAAAGTGACACAGATGAAAGTGAGTCCAGCATACCAGTAACCATGGCAACTATAAATGGACTAGATTTACCAGTTAAGAGCAGAGATTGTCAGGTTGGCTTTAAAATCCAGACTCAGACTATTTATAAGAAATGTATCTAATATGTAAGAATTCAGAAATGACCAAAGTGAAAGAATAGGAAAATACATATGTAACAGGTAAATAATAGCCTGGCTGTGTAAGAGAAAAGGGACCTAAAACCCAAGCCCACTGGAAGAGGGAGGTTTGTTATGGTGGAGAAGGAATAGTCATCAGGCAGGGCAGCAAGGCCACTGATGGCCAGGTTGGTCTTTTCAAACCTGCGTAACAGATAAACCTGTTTCTCTTTGCTGATCAATATGCTTTATGTTACCTTTTCCCCAAAATAGACCAGTTTCTTCTCCCAAGTCTGAGCCTAAGAACCTCAGTGATCCGGTCAAGTCTCCCAGGATCCAGAAACAGCATTATTTTCTTAGATGCTCATGGTTGGTTGAAGTGGGAGCCTGGAAGTCTCTCATATGATATGAGTTAAAGCAGGAGACCTGGCAGGAGCCACACTCCCTGCCTCACCACCCACCCTACTAAGGGCAGCTCTGGCCCACAGGACTGGCTGTGCATGCTAGCAACGTGCAGGGCCCCGGCCTCACATCCAGGGTTCTGCCCTCTCCAGTCATTGTTACGCTGGTTCCATGCACAGACACAGCACTTGTGTCATGTTTTAGAATTTGATCTCTGCCCTTCAGAATCGTTACCACTATTTACAATTAATCCCATTCCCATAGATGACACTTGCTATTTTGTTCCTCTTTTTCTTTTCTCTAGATCAGTGGTTCTCAACCTTCCTAATGCTGCAGCCCTTTAATACAGCTCCTATGGGTCACTACCCACAGGTTGAGAACCGCTGCTGTAGATGATCTGCTTTTCATAATCCTAGGCCTCCTAACACTTTCTACACATTGCACTTGGTGAGATTTAGATATTGGTAAGGTATTGGGTTGAACTTGGCAAGCCTGTACTAGTAGAGCTGAAGACTCAGTCATGGTGATAAATTTAGCAAAAATCCTGCTGTTGCCACCAGCACCATTGTTAGCACCTGCCCAACCCCCTACACCCTGCTTTGACCACCTAAATGCAGCAAGCACTGTTCAGCTGGGTCCCATTTTACCTGCAGGAGGAATACCTGTTCTTTTTAGCTTTAACTCATATCATACAAGAGATTTCCAGGCTCCTACTTCAACCATAAGCATCTAAGAAAATAACGCTGTTTCTGCTTCAAGACACTCTGACCCAAAGTCAGCGTGCACCTGTGTGCGTGGTTTAGATGTAACCCCTCTTTTCCTCTCTAGAGTTGACAGTTCAAAAAACATTAGTTAAATGTGGCGCCCCTTGATTGTGAGTCTGAATTTGTAAGCTGACTTTTAGCCCTTTGACCTGCAAAGGACGAGTGAAAGCCTCGAGGAAGGGAAGTGAGGGGCAGGCAGCGCTGCCAGGAAGGCTGTGGCACAAGAGCTGTTGGTCCTGCCCAAAGTCAGCAGGATTGTGGGGCGCCTTGTATTTATTTTCTGTCTTTGGACATTTATGATTGGATTAATTTTATTTTAAATGTGACTTGAACCCTAGAGGTAATTGAGGTAACCTAAATCTGTCATGAGAGCCTGTTTTCAGCACATCAGCCCTACCTGTGCGGAACGAGCCCTCCGGTGGGGGTGCGGTCTCAGCCTGGAGCTTTTGCAAGGAGAGAGACCTGCCCATGGATGGACACCCAGCAGGTGCTGTGGGGGAGTTACTGGCCAGCCTCACAGTGACCACAGCATGTGTCTTTGTGGTCTCCACCGGCGGTGACTGGTGATCTTGTCTGTTTTGGGTGCAGTTCCTGATCCGCCTCATCCACAAGGAGCTGAGCTGTGTGGGGTCAGCGGCAGGGGACCAAGTTCCGTAAGTTCCTCCTGGCCCCTCTCCACTCACGGTTTCTGTGTGGCCTGTCTGCCTGCCTTTCCCTAGAGAAAGGAAGAAACTCACTGTCCTTCCATGGCACATCTCCTTCACTCTCCTTTTTTTCTTTTCTAATAAATGCCTCTGTGTGGATATGCTGGTGGTAAAATCTCTCCTCATATGGGAAGAATGTGGGGGACATCGCCTCGTTTGTCGAGTTTTGTGAGCTGCAGCTCCCAGAGCTCTCCCTGCTCTCCTCACCGCCCAGCCTCCTCCCTCCCTCCCTCACTGGCCACCTTGAGGTTCACCCACCTTCCAGTCCCCTGCAGGAAAGAAATCCTCCTCTGTGCAGGGGGAAGAGTCTGCCGGCTCTCCTGGGACTGTTCACCATGTTTGAAATTCAGCGTCTCTCTTTGAACTGCTGCCAGCTGTTGAACCAGCTGTCATTTTATCCTGTCTTTCAGGTTTAAGGAACAATGACCACTCGAGTCCCATGGAGGGAGTCTGGGCACATCCTTCACACACTGTCCTTCAAGGAAAAGTTCAAATAAAGGATCCATGTTGAAAAGAGTGATTTACCCTTGCCTTTTGCACATGCACCTGAAAAAGACACAAAAGCCAACATGAAAATTCCTGGTACTATTATAGTTTAAACGAGATGTGGGGCTCAGGGCAGAATAAGAAAAGTCCCCTAGGAACTGCTGTCTAGCTGCCTGACTGAGCCAGATGGAGGCTCGACAGCGTGTGCCCAGCCAGCCGCTCAGGTGCACGCGGTGCCCAGGTAACCCCCGTCTCTCTCAGGTACTTCAACAGAACGTTAATGTGTCCAAGGGCCTCGCTGGCAGGACCTCTGGCAGCAGTGTGCTGCTGTTTCCAGAGAACCTGAATGTGCCACGTAATAAACAGGACATTGGAACATAGGAGATGATGCCAGCGAGCAAGGAGGCAGCCTCCACACGACAACTGGGTCAGAAACCAACACAGAAGGCGGACCTGTCACGTCATCCCAGAGACTCTGCCAGCACTCCCCACATTCTGTACTGACCTCAGAACTAACAGCAGTAGTGTGTGGCCGTGAAGCAATAAACCTGCCCACGGACAGGGCACCTCGAGAACCAGCCCCAGGACACCCCAGCTCCTGCTGTCCCGGCTGTCCTCCAGGGCTGAGACTGCTCGGTCCAGAGGCTGAGGGCCTCGCCCTGGTGCTGGGAGTGGCTGGTCTCGAGCCCAGAGAGTCACTGCACCACACACAGACACCTGAACCCTGTCTAGACACACAGTAGCAGAATGGATTATTTATTTAAAATGTGTGATATGTTCTATGAAGTATAAGAAATATAAATGCATTTTATTATTTATTAAGAAAAACTCTAGTTGTTCTCTGGCCATTTTTCTCAGTTGTCTCTTGCAAAATACTTATCTGCCCTTTGAAATAAAATGGTTTTTTTAAAAAACTCAAGCAGAATGCTCAGTTATTTCTGCTCATGTTTCCAATATATTAAAGAAAGGAAATTTTCAAATAGAGTTGAATGTTTTTAGTTTTTGTCAGGATGGGACACATTTGATGTCTTGCAGGGGGAAGCTGAGACCGATTTCAGCAGATAAGGGGCCTCCCTCTTGGGAAGGGACCCTTCCATTACATGAAGGGCCAGGCCTAGGCCCTAGCAAAAACAGCAGTCTGGATATCTTATATATCATGCAGTTTAAAGACTATCCCAAGATTTGTCCTTGCCTGGGAATTGTCTCACAAAGCAGGGGTTAGTGGTAGGTTAGATGCTGCAGTTGGAAGTTCCCAAGGAGAGGACGTCCAGATTTCCAAGCTTTCTCCTTATGGACAGAGACTTGAAAGTTGCATGATGTTGAGTTTCCCCAGAGATGGAGTACCGTGTGTTCTGAAAAGCCGGTCTGGTGGGGGCCCCTTCACAGCAGCTGGCAGCAGTCAGAAACATGGTCCTGCCCCCAGTGCCCCAGAGAAGGGACAAAAAACAGGAGGCAGACTGGCTGCAGGGGCTTCTGTGCACCCACCTCCTCACCAGATCTGCCTTCTTCTTAATGACAAGTTATTTACCCTTTTGGGATTTTTTTCTATTACTAAACATGGGATTCTGTAAACACTGCATGGCCGTCTATGCTTCCCACATACACGGTCTCCTCAGCGCTTGCTGTTTCTTTTTCCTCTTCTTTCAACCTCATTTGCTTCCTGCCAGAGCCCACATCCCAAGGGACCCTCCTCTTTTCCTCCCTCCCCAGAGCTGCAGTAGCCTGGGCTACCTCTCGCCCTTCACCCCTCATCCCTCGCTCGTCACACCTGCAGGCTGCCATCCCTAAAGATGGGCACACCCCTTGCCGGCCACACATCACCTCTTTCTATCAGGTGTGTACTTTGTTTTTTGAGATAGAGCCTCAAGCTGTCGCCCTGGGTAGAGTGTCGTGGCATCACAGCTCACAGCAACTTCTAACTCCTGGGCTCAAGAGATTCTCCTGCCTTGGCCTCCGAAGTAGCTGGGACTATAGGCGCCCACCACAATGCCCAGCTATTTTGGGGTTGCAGCTGTCATTGTTTGGCAGACCCGGGCTGGATTTGAACCAGCCAACTCAGGTGTATGTGGCTGGCACCTTAGCTGCTTGAGCCACAGGCGCCGAGCCAGGTATGCACTTTTATATTCACCTGGACAAACGGAGACACAGGGCAGAAAGAAATGTGTCTCTGCACAGAGGACATACCTGTACACAGCTTTGGCCTTCCAGCTCCCAGCCCCGCCAGAACTGCTGTCTGGGGCCTCATCTAGTCAGATGCCCAAGGAGGTGGTCCCCAGAGCACCCCCGCCCCACGACCACTGTCCAGTGCTCAGCAGCAGCCTTGAAGAGGGCAGTGTGGCTTTCCCAACTAGGTGACCTGAGCTTTTAGGAGAAAATCAGCAAGTAAGAGCAGGTTTGTGTTTCTGAGCCTTCTAAGCTAAACACTGATAGCACCTTTTGAGATGGATATTTGATATTTTTTAAAATGAGGAATATACACACAGCTATTTTTTAAACAGTTTAGCTGAAACACGTGTCGATTCTTGAATGGAAGATTTCATCATGACATTTAGGGGGAAAGTGTATGATGTCATTGTGAAAGCACAGCCTCGCCTTGTTGAAGCGGTGACTGAGGTCATTTCCACCTGCTGACAGCTGGCTCTGATGCTCGCACACTTGTATGTGTCTGGCAGTGCAGCTGCGCCCTCAGGACACACAGGAAAGTCCCTGAGACTCAAGAAAGGCCAGGATGATGGGACACAAGCTCATGGCAGGGTCAGTGAAAGAGGCCACATGGGACTCTGGCTGTCCAGTCCCAGAGGCAGAAGAACCTCTCCTGGACGCCTCAAGTGAAGCCCTCGGAGACAAAGAGCCACCAGCAGGTGCCAAGGTGCCTGGAGCTTGTGTCCTGTAAGTCTCACTCCAGATGTCCGTGGAGGGTCCAGACCAGCCTTCCCACCGCCAGCTTATAAGATCAAAGAAGGCTAAATTGCTCAAAAAGATAAAGTGAAAAGATAGAAGCCCCAACTTTTAGTGTTGGATCCAGCAGACGTAGAACCACTCTGCGGAGGAGGCGTGAGGGTGTGTAAATGCTCTGCTGCTCAGCCCCCACACAGCTGGTGTAGGCCCCCCAGGCACAGGGGTCTGTGTGGCCCTGGGGACACTTGGGGTGATGGGGCTGCGCCAGCAGCGGGGCAGGAGCCTGCACTATGCCCCCACAGCCTGGCTTTGAGCGCCCTGGGCTGACCCACTCATAGGTTTCTGTCTCCAACTGGGCCCAGGGCCTGGAAAAGGTGGGGCCTGTTCAAAACCCATTAAAAAGTGCCGTTAAAGGTGCTAAGACATAAATGTCTCCTCTTCCTCTGCTGTCTCTCTCTGCTGTTCAGGCTGTCTCAGGCCTAGGGACGTCCATGCAGCTGCACACAGGTACCTGGCTCTGTCCCCGAGCCTGGCTGGGCCCGACCTCTCCTGTCCTCTCCAGGCCACCTGGGGGCAGAGAGCATCCCCCCTCCCCCACCTACACCTCCCCACCAGTTGCTTCCCCAGGTGGGGGGCAGGGTGGGGAGAGGGAAGCTACAGGAGACCTGGGTGCCAGGGTGGGAGTGACACCAAGGCACCCAGGGAGGCAGTGGGGTCCGTGTCATTTGAGAGCTGAGGTTCTGGCCCTGCAGTACCAGCTCCAACATCACCTGCACATCCCTTACAAACCATAGGTGCAAAGATGGCACCACTCAGAATGTCATCACTGCAGAGCCCTAAACCCACACTGGCCCTCTGACCGCAGGCCCAGGTGACTGCACTGGTCACGCAGCCCTGGATCCAGTCCCTCCATCAAGGATTGGGGTGGGAACTGAGGGCCTGGCTGAGCGTCCCCCTTCCCCAGCAGTGCCCCCACTCAGCTCGGGTTAACTGCCACCACCTTGTCCAGTGTGTTCCAACACACCCCGCTCCTGAGAACTGGCGTGTGCTATCTCCACACACAGAGCCAGCCTGAGGACATAGCTTTGACCAGGTGCTTCTCGTTCCTGACCCCACTCCAGGGGCCTATGAGCTCCAGGGCAGTGGGTCGGTGTGGGCCTTGGGCTGCTATGGCAGGAAAGGTGCTGTGGGCAAAGCAGGCCATTCTCGGGCAGCCGGGAAGGTCCAAAGAGGGGAGGGATGCAGTGAGCACCACAGTCCTGATACAGTCGGCCTGGCTGCAGCCCCGGCTGCTCCAATACCCAGGGGAGGAAAGGCAGAGGCAATGGGGCACCTGCAGGTGAGAACTGCTGTTCTGGCATTCGGCTGGTGTCCGGCAACACCCTCCAGAAGACAGTTAACAATGCTTGTGTGAAGGTCGCCACATGTAACTTAGTTAGCAACAGACACTGGCTTGGAAGCATCCTGCACCCAAGGTGACTATTCCCTCCCTCCCTGACTTGTGAAGTTCTAACACGAGGCCTGGATTGGACATTCTATTATTGGTCCCATTCATACCCTTTCTGTCCCCAAACAGCACTTTGGGTAGAGAAGCTGAGAAGCGAGATGTGCTTGAAAGGAGACACTGCACCCTGCGTCTCTAAGAGGTTCGGGGTCTTTGGATGTGGCTGCTACATCCCCAAATGTCCTTGATCCCCACAGGAGATGCTGGCTGGCCCAAGCAGCTTCTCCTGTTCACAGGCTTTATTTTTTAAATCAAGGGGAAATTTACAAAACACACCATTAGCCATTTAGAGAGTGCGCACTCAGTCGCACTTGGTGCATCACAACACTGTGCGGCCACCACCGCAGGTCAATACTTTCTCATCACCCCAGAAGACCCTGAACCCACTGCTGAATCACCCTCCCCACAAAGGCCTTCTATTTAAAATGAGGGTGTCAGGCAGAGTGGCCGGATTCCGTCTCGCACTACAGAGCTGTCCTCGGTGAAAACCAGCAGCTGCTCCATCACATGTGATTCCTTCACTCCGTAGGCAGAAGGCATGAGGGGACCCGGTGTGTCTGAGATGTAAGCACATCATCACAGCCACCACGCCAGGGACCAGCCCTCCGAGGAGTCTGCTGGGACTCTGGTCTTGAGACTACTAAGCCTGGCTCTGTCCTAGAGCCACCAGACCACAGTGGGGGTCTCCCTGCCGGCAGGCCACGTGGGGTCAGCTTTGGTTTCTCTCTTCCTTTCCCACCAGCCTCCCATGTGTCTTTCTCCCACTTCTTCCACATCCCCTTGTCCCCTTCCATGTCCACCTGCTCTTGGCAGCAGATCAGGGGGTGGGGCTCCTGTGGTGTGTCCCACACATGTCTACAGGTGGACAGGAGCAGGCACATTGCTGACAGACATCTTCCTGGGCTCCCAGCAGGTTACTAGAAGTCCTTTGCCGTTACTTCTGGTGAGGGCAGAAACCTCGGCTTCAGCCTTGGCTGCTCCAGGAGCAGTCAAGTATCGGACAGTCACCTGGAGAGGGCGCCTCTTTCCAGACATGCTGACATGGAGTCCAACAGGGAATCCGAGGGCCTTAAGGGTCTTCCTGCACAGGTGGCAGCACTCGGCAATCCTTACGGTTATTTTCACAAGGCAGCCATGGGAGAAGCACCTCCCAGTAAACGGGAGGACACGGAGGCACCAGGAGGTGATTCAGGGCCCCAACGGGAGGGTCTTACTGATGCTAGACTTTGCCATTGGCAGCAGCGGAGAAGGATGGTCACTCCCGTGACAAGCTCTGCACATTGACCTGTGTCGGGGCAGGGGAAGCCCACGGGACAAGCTGGCAAACGGGTGCCTGCGCAGACCCTCCCCGTCTCGTTTACATTCACACGTTCATTCTCCTGCTTCCCTTTTTGCTTCACAGGCCTGAGCACCCTTTCCTTACCTCTTCTCTTTGGATTTATTTATCAATGACTTCCTGGCAGCACTGAGTGGCTCACAGTCACGGCTCTGAGGCAGTCACGTGCG